CCCCCCCAGCACCTTCCCCACTCCGAGATACTTCATGTGCACTTAATGAGCCACGCATTCGATTAGCAAATGTGTGGGTGAAAGCAGGCAGTGATTGTTCCTGGTACAAGATTCACTCCTACGAGTCCTCGGGTCACAAATGGACTCGGCAGGCTCCTTTACATTCATAATTCGAGGACTACCTGTAATTCTTTATTCCATGAATCAAAGCAATAATCCTGCATAGAATTAGAAACTACCCTAAAACCTGGAAGCTACAGGTCTTATTAGTAAAATCTGGGTTGCATTTTCAGTTGAATTACTTTCATGTGTGGATTTTAAACATGTATTTTATGTAAGTCAACCCTTTCTTTTTCCCATTAAAAATGTTCTGATTTTGCAAATGCCTAGGAAGATAGTGGTAGTATATTTGATTTGTGCTGGGTGTTAGAATTCTATTATGAAAACTTCAAATTAATTTAGGAGTTTAAATTGGGAGACCCTTTGGTGTAGTGGTTAAGACACTAAGCTAAAAACCAGGAGTCTTAATTCTAATTCTACCTTGGGCATGAAAGCCAGCTGGGTGACTCGGGCCAGTCAGTCTCTCTCTCTGTTCAATTCACCTGACAGGGAAAATAGGAGGAGGAATTGAGTATTGAATTTGTTTGCTACCTTGAGTTATTTGTAAAAATAATAAAACGAGTCACCACTGTTGTAAAGCAATTCACACGGTCAATAAACAAAGCATATGATTATAAAGTGAATTGAGAATATCCAATGATTGTTTTTTGTTGTTTTGTGCTGGAAAACAGCAAAAAAGCCACAAATTGAAGTCATATAATCAAGGAAGGACACAACTGGCCATAAATGCAAGCCAGTTGCCAAGCTCCCAAAATGCAATAGTGTAGTCAGGAATGATTGTGGCAGATGTAACTTCAAAAATGGGCAATAAATAGCATTTTAAAAGTCATTACATAACAGATCATTAAATGATTGTAAATTGAAGACTATCTGTACTTATTTCAGGACTGTCTGTTGGATACAAGAACAAGTCTATAAAAGAGATACATCTGTCACAAGAAGTTTCATGACATTGTGACTGCAACTATTCATAAACTCCTACAACTAAGTTCCCTACATACTATTTATAAGGATATATTTCTGAGGTAAGTTATCCAACTCTATTTGTACCTTCGAGTCAGCACTAACTCCTGGCAATTTGTCTTTCAGTTTTTAGATTTCAGAACTAATTTGCCATTGCTGTCTTCTTAGGACTGAGAAAGAATAATTAGGTCACTCAGCTAGCTTTATTCCTAAAATAGGACTACAAATCACAGTCTCCAGTTTCCAGCCTGGTGCCTTAACCACTATACCAAATAGGCTCTCATGTTTTAAAATGAAAAGCAGGACTCTTGCGTGAGCAGGGGGTTGGACTAGATGACCTCCAAGGTCCCTTCCAACTGTTACTATTACCTTTCCCCTTCATCCCAAGTTTCAGATCCTCCTCTAAGTGAATTTTGAGTAGAAAATGAGCAGAGGGAAATATTAAGCAGTCTCTCCTCCTCAGCAGTTCTCCTTGGCTGCATTTTCCCAGAAATATACTTTTTTTCTTGAGGGAGGCCACTTAATTGATTTGCTGTAATATTTAGTTCAGTCTGAATATTGGTCTTCAGGGTTGTTGGTCTTCATGTCTTCAGAAATCTTGATCTTCAAATCCTAAATCCCCAGGATTTATAATCTTTTAACTAACACACAAGAGTAAACTGGAATGACTAAGAATGTAAATGTAATCATGTTTCACAGCATGTTGTCTTCTCATTTAAAATTAGCTGTGAGACAGTCTGCTAGTATAGTCATAACAGTTTTGGTTTGGATCACTGGAAGAGTTATCTTTTTATTATCACTTGACAATGGCAGCAATTTTATGAAACCTAGATAAAATAGTTTTGTTGGCCACCCTCATTTATATTATGGTAACAACAATTTTTATGAAAACCTACCTCCCCACTTGCTAATTTAATAGTTATTATAGAATTGTAACATTCTGCTCAGTGCAAGAAATTGTAGAGCCACAAAATGTATTCTAGTCTCCACTTGGAGATATTTATAGCAAGGGGAACATTTCTTCTGCAGGGTATTGGTTTAATTAATTCTTAGATGCTTCCTGTAATATTCAACTAAAATCTATCCTGCAAGTGAAATCAACCCAAACTTAGATGGGACCCTCTGAAACAAAATGGCATATTTGATAAAGCAGTCTATGAAGCAGTGGTTAGGCTAGAAAGAAGAGGGATATGAATTTAAGGGAAATCCCCTTACAAATATCTTTTATAAGAAACAACTTTATGAAAGAATTCTGAGACAATACAAGCTCTCTTTTATATTTGTTAAGATGTACATCTACATTTGGTTATTGATGCACCTGTAGACCAAAAAAAGCCCCTAGATCAAAGCATTGGATAATTGTCTAAAAACATTGTTGAAACATGGAAGATTCCAGCTGTTTCCGCAAAAGCCAGTAGGAGGAAATCAATTTTCCATTCCAATTTATATTCCATAATTTTTCCAATAGTTCAAAACAGCTTACAAGTGATCCTGCTCTCATAATATGGCTGAAAAATGTGAAAACTTCAAAAATGAATTACTGGAAACACCTAATTTACCTAGTTCCACTATACTATCAGGAAATTAAGTATTATAAAATTTATTCTCCTCTCCAGTCTTAAAAAGGGCACCAAACTGAATTTCAAACCATTTGAGAAGTCAAAATCATATCACATACACTTGAAAATACATATGTTTTAGCTTATCCATTATAAATAATTTTTCATATCTGAGATATTTGAGTGGGAGCAATCATGTGACTT